ACAAAGGTGTTCCTAAATTTAGAAGGCTATTTGTAGAGAGAGGAAATGTATGCAAGTACAATTAGTAAGAGGTTTAAGTTTAAGATTGAGTATGTTGAAAGGGAGAATATGTTTCCTGGCTACTTTCTCTGTACCTCTGTTTTCAGTACCCACAGAGCCTGTTTCATGGTTTCTGTATTCAACAGGGACTTGTTCTGTGAACTGAATTTAACAGGAGTGTTTTCAGGGATCTGTTTTTCATCTTCAAGTAACAGCAGTTGTATTACCTGTTGTCCTATTTTTCCCTGAAGATGGCCTAGTGAAACAATGTGTTCACTTGAAGTATGGTTCTTCTTGTCCCTAAGTTATATAGTATCAGTAACAGCTTTTGAATATAGTTCTGCCCTTCTCCATCTTCTGTCACTGGTCTTCGTCCTCTAGTGAACTATGTACATCACATTTTGCAGCTGCTCTTCTACAACCGACTTATAGGATGGTATGTTGATGGATTCTTTTGTATGCTGTATTTCAGGATATTGATGTCCTCTTTGTTTTAAACTAGCCAGAAAGAAACAGCAAGAGGAAACTAGCAAAGGAAGCTGTTCTGACTATTGATTTTCTTATGGCTTTCAGTGGTTCGTTAATTCCCCTAACAATTTCTTCCTAGGTAGCTGGCTTGATGTGACAATCAGTAGCCAGCAGAAGAGGGGCTGTCATGGCTGGGTGAAGCCATTGCTGATAATCTCAGTTTTGCCTTATGAATTCTCTATCTATGGTTCATTTATTTAGTGTAGAAGCAAAATAGAGCTCTCTATAAATAGATTCCACTATTCCACCATAATTTTGAATACAACATTCTCATTCTTTCAAATCTGTGTAGATGCCAGAAGAACATCAGCCAGCTGGTTCACAAGACAGGCAAGAAGAGCTGGTCAAGTACTGCTGAAAAATTAGCTGTATGCAAGAACTGTTCATATGGGAACAGTATTTTTTAGATATGTATACATTATTTTTTTCTCACTACTATTAACTGAAATTGCTTTTATGTCCCTAACAGCTGCATTAAAATTCAAACTATACAGTACTGTATACCACTGCTGTTCAAAGCACAGGATGCACTGAAGATCATACTAATTTTTAAACCGGTATAGCTATCTTGTTTTACAGTAAACAAGAAAAAGGGTGCCTGTTTGAAGTCAATAAGGCAAATAACTCTTGTATGAAAATTCAGTAAGGCACTACCAAGAAGAGAACTGCAACGCTAAAGCTATTTCTGGCACTGTTTCTCTCACTTATGGGTCCCTTTTGTTCCTATCATTTCTGAGAAAGATAGCTGCAGAATAATAAATGTGCCAGAAAAAAAAATTGACTTTATTCTAGAGGTTGTTACGTCATGTAAAATCTCTACATAACATTTCTGTGCAGTCTGTTCTGTTATTTTCACAATATTGTTTGAACTTTGTGAACTTGCATTGAGAATCAAAGAACTTCTGGAATACCATGTCATTTCTATAAGGCATTTTTAGAGGCTGTTTAGAGCCATTATAGAAGATTGTGGTTCACAAAGGGAAAAATGACTTGTTGACTGCCTGTAAGCCGTATTTCTTTTGTTTTTATAGAATGATATAATCATCTAGGTTGGAAAAGACCTTCAAGAAAACGTCCAATCATCAACCTGTCTTTCTGAATCCTGTCCCTGAATCAAGGCCCTTGCTGTCACATCCACTCTTTTTTTATCAGACAAACCTTGCAGTCTGTTTGTCTTCCTGTTAAGAGGGTAAAATATATAATTAATGATTCTAATGGCAATCTTATTTTTTCTTTAAATTTAGATCAAACTTGTTTATGTATCTGCCATCTTAAAACAGTCTGTTGCACATGGTCTCACTTGATTTGTTGTGACTTCTAAAGATTTCCAGAATGTCCTGGTGGTTAAAAACAAACAAACAAACAACAACAACAAAAAAAAAAACTATTGAAATTTATTTTCTCAATGGGGAATGTCTCACTTCACAGACAATTGAAAGAAACACTGTCAGTTGCTGAAGCCTGTTAAGATTTTGTTTTCTCCTTTTGTTTCTCAGGGTTAGTCAACACTGGTTTACAACTTTAAAAAGTAGTTTGTCTCTTTTTTTTTTCTTTTTTTTTCTTTTTTTTCTTTTTTTTTTCTTTTCTTTTTTTTTTTTTTTTTAAGAAAATCTTTCTATTTGCTCCCATTTCTGCCTGAGAGTATCTTGTCAAGACTCCTGTGTTGTTGTCCATTTGCTTTGCATTCTTTAGTATGTAAAATAAGGCTTGGTAGAGTGCAAGGGGATTGTTGATAACATCTAGTCATTCCTCAAATAGCTTAAGAGTGTGCAGTCACAAATAGCTTTGTGTAAGTTGTTCCCCAGCCAGTAGAGTTAATTGCCAAAGTGTAATTTTTCAGCATCTGCTGTGGGCTATTTTGCTTGCCCGCTTGGAACAGATTTAACCACTGAGAAGTTTTCTCCATCTGGTGGCAGAAATTGTGAAATTCTTGTAATCAGGAGGTCTAAAATAGGTTGAGGCTCCCTCTGGGGAGGACAGTGCTTGAGTTTTTCACAGCTAGAAGCCACCCTTTGTATATCACTTAAAAGCGCAGAACAGGTATAAGATCTGATGTGCAAGCAGTGAAGTCTTCCTAAAGAAATTTCAACTTTTGCATTTTAGAGTTAAGGTCTTGTGGATATGGAATAGAATTTATAGAATTGGTTGCATTCATGTGTAACTTTTCCTTGTACAAATAAATAAAAATATGGCAGCCCTTCTTTTAAGACACACTATTTTGTAAAGCTCAGTAAATGAGTAAGTAAGCAAAAACTGAAGAAAAAGCAGAAATTGCATACTTTTAAAAAAAAGACATTTATAATGCTTAAGATACTAATACATACTGTTCTTTTGCTTTTTTATAATGTAAAATTTTTACATCTGTCACAGAAATTTCATAACTTTGTTGTGTTCAAAGAATGCTTTCACTGGTGGCAGATACAGAACTGTGTTTGGTATGTATTGTTTGAGTTCAAGAAGAGACTTTCAGTTTAAGCAGAAGATGATTGTGCTATGGCACAATCTGCTTCTAAGCTGGACATGAACAAAGTTCTACGTTGTTGTAAGAATGCAGAGAAGTGCTTACTCATTAGAACTTTTCTTCTCTCTTTCATCCACTTTTTTTTTAATTTTAAAGAGAAATATATTTGTTCACACTGGCAGCTTAGGAGGGGAGGCATTCTAATAAATATTACACTGGTATGAAGAGTGCTACGCATCATTTTCTGGACATTCTGTGTGATAGGCTAGTTGTTATAGTGATGGCAAATGCCAGCTGCCTTTACACATGAACGTCTATAATATTTCTCTTGAAGTATTAAAGTGACATGTTCAATATGTCTTTGGCTTCTGTTTAATTTTTTTTTTTAAACTTGGGATACAACTGTTCCCGCTTACATTTGCATTTGTCTTCCTACTCCAAGTAAAGCTTGTTGTTAAGGTTGGCTTATCAGAAGCTACATGTCTGAGGATGCTGTCTTCAGTTCACGTAGTACAGTCTGTTCACCGATTTCAGCAAATTCTCTCTCTTGACCTGCTTCAACATTGAGGTGCTGACTGTATGTGTTTGGAATACTATTCTTTATTTGCAGCATGCTGTATTGAATCCAAGCAGTGAGAAACTGTTGTGATCATTATTGACCTTCAGCAGATTAATGACATTGACTAGCTTTTTCTCCTCTGCTCTCCTTTCATCTTTTCTCCTCCTTTTCCCTCCCCTCATCAAGAAATGGAATGTTTCGTGCTTTCTGTGTGGTAAATTTCTGTAATTACATGTCGCTGCTTTTTTTCTTGGCATTTGAAGAAATTTAAAAACTTATTTCCCCTGCAAAGATATCAAGAATGGAAACAAACATTTCCATTTTGCATACTGGTACACAGATCTGGGCTGCATGTGAATTTGAATGAAGTTTATTTTCTTCTCTAGCATGATTAGAAAACATAGTTATTTCTTTAATTACATTGCTTCATTTCTTTATAATTTCTTAGACTTTTTATCAGGTTCACATTCTTTCTGACTAAATTCTTGGTGCCAGATAGTTGTCAGTGCCAGTGGGAATGTTATAGAGGATAAAAAGACAGCAGGAAATGGCTCAAACCTTGAAAGTCAGGTCTGTTTGGGATCATTTGGAGTGAGGTGCTAGCTGATTAACCTCCAAAAGCTGGGAGCTTTTGCAGTCAACCATGGTGTTGTCTTCAATTGCTTATTTGAAGATTACTTTATAATTTTTCTCCTTCAGTTTGTTCATGGATCTCAGAACTTAATTTTCCAGTTAAGTGCAAAAGTAGCTGAGGTGGTCTGCATACTGACAGCCATGCTGACTGAAACAGAGACAGAGACGACTGGAACTGCTGAGAAACATCTTCAGTGATAATTGTTACTCTCGTGACATTCCTGTTGACTACTATCAAATTGTTTTGTATTTTATGATACCTGCCAGGCCGGTCTAAACCAGTGAACTGGTTATATATAGCCCTATTGAAGATGTATCAGATATGATGAAGTGTTTTACCTACTGAGTGTTTGCCTGGCCATTATCCAGGGAGTTAGATAAAATACATTACATGAATGACATAGCTTTTTAACACACAGGAAATAAAGTCTCATTTCATGAGCTGTGTTAAACCAGTTGTATAAAATGTCCATTAAAAGTGCATGCAATAAAAAGAGAGATCAGATATTGTCAAAAGTTCAGAAATGGGTTCAAAATTATTTAGCATATGCAGCAATGTATAAAGCAGATAGTTAATACGCGCAGCAAAGTAAGTAAAGAGAAATGGTCTAACGTGTTTTCTTTGCTTTCCTTTATCTACTGATCTTATCTCTCTGCATGATTTTCATTTGTCATTCCATCTGCGTTTCTTCTCAACGTTTGATTTCTTTATCATAACACGGCTGCTTTAGTTCAGTTACTTAAGGCTTCCCATTGTATGTCTGTCTGCTTTTTTTTCAGGAAGCCATTGTATGGATTATTTCAATACAATTCCAGTATGATCGGACTAGAATCATTAGCTGATCCCACAGACACCTGGGAAATTATAGAGACTATTGGAAAAGGCACTTATGGTAAAGTCTATAAGGTTGCCAATAAGAAAGATGGGAGTCTGGCAGCAGTAAAGATTCTCGATCCTATTAGTGTAAGTGAAAGTATTAAACTTCATTGCTAATTTAAAAGAATTTTTAAACAGTTTTAAAATGTAAGTTAAACATAAGATATTGAATGCATTTCCTGAGGAAATGTTTTTTGCACAGTGCATTGGCAGAAGGAAGCCTGAAAGGTGCTGCTGAAAATTTCATCATCTTGCATGCTGTTTGAAAATAGCATTTACTAAGTTTCATTTTTATATCTATATAAGTCGTCCGGTACAAATTCAGATACCTGTGCTTTGAGCATGCATGTGATAGGAAAGCACAAAGGCATTCCTCTTAGGGGTCTGTTTTAGGAAGGAAGACAAAAGATACTGTTAATCTTAAATGTTCTTATTCTACGTTCCCTAAAAGGATTGCTTTTTCCATTGCAGAAATACTGTGAACTTCATTATATTTTACAATTGTCTTCTGTAAGTGTCTAACACTGATAAGCAATAATTAAAGAATAGGCAATAATTAAAGTCCAGGCAAAATTCTTGGAAGTGGTTCTCTGCTAGCTCCAGTTTTAGTGGGATTTAAGTCCCTGACCTCCCTTGAGAGCCAAGGCCCTTGCTCTCAGTGGAAGAGTTAGCTGACCACTGTACAGGTTGGATTAAGCTGGAGTTTGATTGTAACAGTTGAGCGAGTATATTTACTATGAAAGGTTGCATTTCTATCATCTACAACTTCTGAAGCCTATCTTGCTTTTTCTCTTGTGCAATTCTGGGAAAAGTAGTAAATCAGACAATAGCTTCAAGATAGATAAAAACAAACAAGTCAGAACAACCGTCCACGTGAATGTTTAATATTTTTAGTAGTTACAGTCTCTGCAGAAGCAAGGAAATTTACTGCTTAGATATTTTTCTGAATTTTGGCCTATGAGCTGATATTCAAATTTTTTTTAATTGTCACAGAACTGTTGTATTAACAAATGCTTAGTAACATTTGCTTATTTAATGAATGTTGATATTTCTCTTTTCAATAGTTTCTAGTATAGTCTGTCTTAATGTTTTTATTTTTACAACATTCCACTTGGAGGTTTTGTGAAATTATTTGATCCCATCTGTTGTCCTGTTTGGACCACAAACAGGAAAAGACAAAATAGTGAAGAGTACTTTCAGCAGCACTGGAAGAAAACCATTAAAAAACATTGGTTTAAAAAAACATTTAAAAGTACAAACTGCTTAAAAATAGCTTTTTTTATCCATAGGCATTTATTCTTGCTTTACACAGGCTTACTGTGTTTATATGTTCTGTATGTTTGTATTTAGGATGTAGATGAAGAAATTGAAGCAGAATATAATATTTTGCAGTTTCTTCCCAATCATCCTAATGTTGTTAGATTTTATGGGATGTTCTACAAAGCAGATCAATATGTGGGAGGACAGCTCTGGCTAGTACTTGAGGTAAAAAACATCTTGATAATATTACATCTTAACTAGTGAATGTGGTGGGTCTCTGTTTTCTATTGCTAGGAGAGTCACCAGCTTTCATGATTTTCTGATAGGGGCCATTTATCAAAAGACTGGTGATAGATGATATGTCATGTACTGTTGAAAATCTCACAAAAATTTGTTAAAAAGGGAAAGTCCTTACATTTTATTTCTATTCAAGTTGCCACATTCTGCCTCAAAAACCACTGTATCTTGTTGGTAAAAATGTTTTGCTTAAAAACGGCTTGATTTTTCTTGTTGGAGAAAATAACGTTCAAATTTTTTGAGAGGTCAAGCACTCAAGGGAAATGTAAAACATAATGTAGAAGTAACATGGTAAAAAATTAAGAAACATGTTGCCTGTTGCAAAATGAACAGAGAAAATGTAATATAAAACTAAAAGTTAGTTGTTCTAGAAAGTAGCAACAGAAATGCCTACTATTCTTCAGTGGCAATTGGTATTCTTGCAGTGAAAAATGTAAAATGACACATGGTAGTCTTGTTGGCAGCTAACTGATTGCAAAAGATTTTTTGCAAGATGAGTGAGGATTTCTAAACAATTTCCAGGCTTAATAGATGCAGAGCTTTACACAGGCTGATGTTCAGTACAATGACATTCATTTTGCTGTGTTATAGGCAGGCTGAGAAGGCTAGCATTTGCTTTTTAATTACAGTTCATTTTAGAAATTTTATTCCCTATTCTTGAATGATGACTTGAATCAGAATGGAAAATCTTTACTTCCCCTTTAAGTCATAGAATCTCAACAACGCGTTTAACTTCTGTTTATGGTAGAATTAGGTAGCTTGAATGAATGTTCTTTGACATTTCATATTAAATTCCATTAACTATTGACAAAGCAAAGATTTAGCATCTTTGTTTTGCTGTTGCTTTTTACTGTATGCCTACTGGCTTTGTATTGAATTTGAATTTGAGCTTGGATTTCCATGTGTTTGTTTTTTTTTGTTTTGTTTTGTTTTTTCAAATGTAGCACATCAGACAGGTTATGTGTGGTACTGCATATAACAAAATTTTTTATGGTAAAATTGTGAAATACTCTATATAACAAAATTGAATGTAGAATTTGGAAGAGCTAGGTCTATATAGACCTTGCCGACTAAGTATGCTCTTGTCACTTGCTTTTGGTGCACATTTTCCAGACTTTAAAGACTTTTGACGTTTAAAAAAATTACATTTTCCTTACTTGGATAAATTTATGGATAATAGAAAAGTAAAAATCTGGTTGTTCCCTGAACTTGTGTTGTCATACAGTTTTATGCAGTAGTTATTCACAGCCTAAAAAAGTGTGTTGAGTAACTGAAGGCATGTCTTGCTTTTTCCCCCCTTTGTGTCTTCCCACTTCACAGCTGTGCAATGGAGGGTCTGTCACAGAACTTGTCAAAGGTTTGCTGAATTGTGGCCAACAATTGGATGAAGCTATGATCTCATACATCTTATACGGTGCTCTCTTGGTAAGGTTGTTCACTGGGCTTGTAATGACAGCAGAGGGTGCAGTTTGTTCATCTCATGCATATATTTTCCATTTATGAAGAATGATAATGTTGACAATATTTTCTGGGCTATTACTGCAGCAGGAGTTGTATCAAGCATGAAATCTGGTGGACAGATGTTTCTATAGACTATGTGCAGATTGTCTTCATTACATTCCCTAATAGTAGGGTGGTAATTGTTTTTAAATAAGGGAGTAAACTTATTTTTGTTACTGCTGGCATATAGGGCCTTCAGCATTTACACAATAACCGGATCATTCATCGAGATGTCAAAGGGAACAACATTCTTCTGACAACAGAAGGTGGAGTCAAGCTCGTTGACTTTGGTAATGACCACTTCCCATTTGTTTTTCTAATACATGCAGTCTAGCCAAAGGCATCTGTTTACTTTCCACTGGGAAGGCAGAATGCTATAGTGAGAGATTTTCGGGACAATTATCAAGATTATTTTAGGGAGGAAAAATGGGGAAGTAACTTGATACACCAAGAATGAAAATGGTATCCAAAAAATCAGTAATACGTTTTTAACTTAAAAGAGCAATCATAATAATTTATTGTTTAAAGTATTTTTGAAAGTGTCATTTACAAATCTTTTTTTTGCATTTTGCAAAAAATGTCAGTTTCACAGTAATTGTCCTAATTTAAATTTAAGTTCTGTGTCTTTTGCATATGAAAAGAAAACATCCTTCTCTTTGAAATGACATTTGCTAGCCTCTAGCATTTTGCTCCCTCTGAGCAGAAGGTAAAATGGTCCCATGTGTCCAAAACCCAATATCCATTTAATATGTTATTATTGCTGTTGTATACAAACATGGCCAGTCTGGAAATATTGTAAGAAATAGATGGGTAGGGAGAGGAAAAGAGAAAGGGCCTTGTCAATAAAATTTAATTCAGTTCAGCATTTTTCTTCTTATACATATCCACTCAGAAAAATAACACGTTGCTGTATGTAGTCTGACAGATATGTATACAATGGAAACGAATTATTAGTAATATGCGATTCATTAGTTAATCATAAAATGCATAAGGTAATCACCATTGAGAATAGTATTGCTTGGATAACAGATGCATGTCTAGTAGTGCATGAAGATAAAGAAAAATGTTCACAAACTGAGAGTAGCATACGATGATATGCCAAAAATCCTGCAAATAGGAATGATTAAAAAAATGAAATTCATATACTGGAAAATAAATGTAATACCATGACATCATCAGCATTACAAATTTGACATTAAAAATGATTGCGTAGGAGATTATAAAATAAGTTGGAACCAAGAAAGTAACAAACATCTCAGTACCTTCTAGGGACAGAAATTCATTATGTTGAACAGTAGAGGTAATAATTAAAATAGTGCTGGGAGAAACATGGCCTGAAGCAAAATTTGCAGCAAGTCCCTGAGCTAGTATGAGGGAGACAAGTAATTTCTCTATGAGTGTGGTCGTTGTTTGCAACTGCGCCCTTCCGGGAAATATTGGCTTCTTTCTCTGACAACTCTTATCATACATGTCAATGGCATTAGCTGCTGCTGAAGATCAGCTTGGAGCTCCTGAGTCCAAAGGCATATCTGTGGTATACAAATCTAAGTGGCATGTTCAGGAAAACTGAGAATCCCAAGATTTCTGGCATCTCATCTCTTTCCATGTTGTTGGGGCTTTTTTATTTCTTAACATTTAAGATTCACCAATAATCGTAGCAAATTATAACAGATGTACCTCAGAAAAAGACGTGAGCAAACGCTCACGTGTTTCCTAGTATTTAACCACTAGGAAATATCGAAATGTGCTTTCTGTCTGACAAAGTATTATGCACTAAGGTTTCATTGAATTGCTCTTTCTCTCACTAGCCCACTGCTTTAGTCATAGAAAGGACTTAGGATCAAATTAGGACTGAGTTGCAGCTGCAACTGTTGTCTGTAGAATTGTCCCATTTGTTGCAGGAGGTGAAAGATGTTTAGTGAAAAATGCAGAGTTCAGGAAGAGCTTTGCTATTTTAGAGTTTTGCTATTCAGACAGCTGAAGAACATCAAACTGGAGCCTGTTCTTGCTTCTGCTAGGGTTTCTCTTTGTTGGCACTTGCATCAAGCTTTTTAGAAATGGCCATTCTGTGTTCCTCATTTTCCTTATATCCAGTCTGAAACATTTTGTACTACCTTGCAGAAGAGCTGAGTTTGAGCTGCAGCTGAGAACGTTACAGCTCTACTTTAGTCAGATGGAGTGCCTGAAAACTGAAAGATCTCAGATTAACAGCACAAAAACAGTGGATGCATTTGATATTTTTAGGCTAATCCCTGGAACTAATAATCCTCTCCCATTTTGAAGGAATGTTAAGGAGATTTGTTGTGTGATAAGGAGTGAAGAAAATAGGAAAGGAAATAATAATCCAAGATTTAGTATTGAATTGTGCATACAAAGTGAGGGTCTAGAATCCAAATCAATGGAGATAAAAGGAAATACTCAGAGATTACCTTGTTAGCAAGTTCTATCCATTATATAGGGGAAAGAGAAAGTGAATTCATACTCAAGGCAGTATGTATGGATATTAGTACACTGAGAGGATTGCACAGTTATTTGTTTGCTTTTATTGCGTGACTTTTCAACTTCTTCTTTTTTCTTTCAACTTCACTCAACAGCATGACATGCTTGAGCTCATCATTCACTCATGTTCTTTCTCTCTTTTTCACCATCTTCCCTCTTTCCCCCTTTCTCCCTGTATCAGCTTTTTGATGTTCCATGCTGTTTTGGAATGTCCATAGATCGCAGCTACAAGTTAGGCCAGCTTAAGAGAAAATAGTTAAATGCACAGAGGCTTGTAGACTCCAGTCATTGGCTGTTTTGCAGTGTTACCCACCAAATCAAGATTTGCGATCACACTGAAATGAAAAATAAGTACAGAATTGAATCTTTGGTACAGCAATCTAATTGCTTAATTTACAAATGACTGATTTTGAGTCTGAATTTCTTACTCACTGAAATCGGGCACAAATCTATTATGTCATGGTGTGTTTCTACCTGTTTTTCTTTGTTGGTGGTACTGTGGGAGTAGATCATGTTTTCTTTTGTTTTCTTTTTTCCCAACAATGATAGCATGAAATATTTTTGTCAATATTGTATTTGTTCAGCTTATTTGAATGCTCCTGAGTTCTACAGGAGCACAGTTGACAAGAGCACAGAGAATGATTTGAAACTTCATTTTGATTTGTTAATATTGCTTCATTTTGTTCTAGTTCCTTCCTTCCTTTTTTCTGCTGTGCTTCACTAGCCTAGCCTCAGTCGGAAAACCAATGAAGCACAGGCTTTGTTTTAAGCACTTGCTTAATTCCTAAGTGTAAGCTACAATGTGAACTTAAGCTTCCATGTTTTTCAAAGGAAAAGATTTGTTTTTAATAAGTGCATAAATGCTTTGTTGAGAAGGAACTTCTGCAAGGTTCCTGCCAGCAGCATTCAGGGAAAAAATTTCAGCTAGGCTTGGACAACATTTCTGGAAAATAGGTTTTAAATTCAGATGGGAATTTGAAATGTTCCAGAATATACTCATGAAAAACAGCAGAAGGAGGTATCTGTGATATTAAGAGCTGGTTAAATTTTTCAATTTGAATGAAAATGCTTCAGACTGAGATAATTCATAAAAAAATCTCGTAGCAATCCAGAAAGAAAACAGCAAGCTGTGGTCAGTCTAGGATGAGCTGTGGAAAAATGAAATTAATCAAAGAATTCAGTAATAACACTGCGCTTTAGTCTGTAGCTGTGATCTCAGTCTTAGAGGTTTGTTTCTTACATACTTCAAATAAACTGATTGACTTGATTTAATGAATTTGAAGCCAAATTTGTTTCTGTTTTGTTGCAGGTGTTTCAGCCCAGCTCACCAGCACACGGCTACGTAGAAACACCTCAGTGGGAACACCCTTTTGGATGGCTCCTGAGGTAGGCAAATGTTTTTTGAATCCTATATTGTCTCCCTTCACTGTAATGCGTGATCTGTTGGCACTTTAATCAAGAAATATCTTTTCATCTAAGGACCATATTTCTACTTTTCTCCACATCTATGGCCTCTGTCAGTGAATGTACTACTACTAAAATATACAAACTGGATTCTTTGATCAGTATTAATATTCACTTATTACTAAATGAATATATTAATATATATATTAATATATATTATATATATATATATTAATATATTAATATTCACACAGCCAAGCTCCACCCCTCCTAGACCTATTTAAGATCTGGCTACGAGAGGGGAAGGATCCTATCTGGAGATCCCCTCTTCTGGTGTTTTTTGTAGGTGAGCCTAGCATGTGGGTAAGCCTTCCATTTATTCTCTCTTATTATTTTAGTCTACTTTGCTTAACTCTCTTGTTCTTTTTTTGTGATTATAACATCTTAATATCCATTGATTATACATCTTAATATCCACTGAATATGCAGTTGTCTTGAAGATTTTATGACTTCCCAATCAGACACATTTAAGTACTATGTAATTCTATAGAAATGCTTTTTAGGTGAAAAGTACCAGTATGGGACACTTAAGGAACCCTTCATAAAATAGTTGAGTATACGCTATAGATATAGGTAGATAGGAATCTGCAGCTGAGAGCTTGGGCTGGGGAAACTGAAATCTGCAATTCTGCAGTCTCCTGAGATTTCACACGTATGGGGACCAATCCTCTCTTGGACTAAAGTTTTTGAAGTTAATCTGGCCCTGCATGTTCTTACACGGTGTGAACACGATTCTGTGCATGTTTGTGATTTCTGCTACATTATACGCAAATTTCTGGTCTGAGGAAATGCATGCAGTTTTTCTGCAGTTGGCTAGTTGATCTGTTTTGTTGATCCATTTGCTCTATTATGAAGACGGATTAGCTAAATGTAGGAAAGGTCCTTTAAAAAAATGATAGTTAATACCCTATTTCTGTGTGCTAGCAAGAGACACAACTCATAATGTTCATCCTGATCTATTACTGGCCCAAACAGCACCAATATTTATAGCATAGGTAAATTTAACAAGGACTTCATGTCCACTCTATTGAAATAGACTGGTCGATCTTTTGAGGATCTTAATGTACTTTCAAAAATTTACTTTTCCTTCTCTATTAGGATGTTATGTCAGACAGTCAGAATGTTCTGTAAACTGTGCTGCAAGGAAGTGTTTTTTTGTGTGTGTGCGCTTGTCTGAGCATTTCAATACAGGGTGGAAGAAGGAGGAGTTCCCACATTACTATCTTGATTTAAGACTGTGAAAACCTTGACTCAGCTGTGTGTCCTGTAACCTTAATTGCAGACTGTCTTATCAAGTAGTTGGGCCAAAAAAATTGTAAAAAGGTGTTTTGGAAGCACTAATAAGCTATAGCATTGCATAGCTCAAAATAATCTCAAACATGTTGATAACATGAGATCAGACACAGTATGAAGGTAAATACTGAAGTGTTTACAGGAAAGAACAAAAGGGTTCATTTATAGTCTGTCTATTGTAATCCATGCTACTACTCACTTTTTAAAATACTATGGAAGTAGGTATATATGTCAATAAAGGGAAGGAGATGTGAGAGTGAAAAGAGCAGTTGATGTATATTCTAATGTATGGGACTCAGCTAGTGTTGGGTCATGGTCTGAGCCACTGGTTGGTCACCTGAGGAAAGAACTGAGTCAACCTTGGGAGCACAGGTAAAAGCAATTCAGCTGTCTTACTGGAAGGGGTGAAGCCTTGCTCCCTCCCTGCTAGACCCAATTTAAGGGCTGACTGCCACTGGGGAAGGGTCTCTTGGAGATCCCTCTCTGTGGAGTCTTTCCTGTGAATCTAGATCTTTGGATGTAGGTGAGCATTCTTTCCTTGTTTGTTTCTTTTCCCATTTTCACCATTCCCATTTTCATCATTCTTTCCAGCTGTAATACAAGCTGTAACATATAATAAAATGTGAGCAAATACTTAAAGATTTAAAATGCAACCAATGATAGATTATGTATCATATCATATATTATTTCAATAATGAAAACATAAAACTCATTTGCTTTCCCAAGGTTTATGTCTAAAACAAACAAAAAACCAAACAGGCAACAATAGTTATAGCTGTTTAACTATGGGAGATGGTTGAAGAACTCTGTTTCTGAGTGGCAAAATCTGAAGTTCACAGAATTCTTTTATTGGCTGGGGATGTGCACACTTGGACTCGTGGGCTGGCATAGGTTAAAAATACAGAAGAATAATCTGCAATTTTTCCAGATAATGTATTCTCTGTAAATTTAAGGTCAATTGGATGTTTAACTGAAGGTTTTAAGGTTTAAAAATATTAATTTTTGCCTTTCTTGCTGTAAGAAATAATGCATTTTTATAAGATTATGAAGTCAGAAATGGAGTGAAGAGGGAGTGAGTTGTTTCTTTGTAAGCTCTTAAACCTAAATAATAATAGTCTCATTTGCATTGGAGATGCAAATACCTTTAGATATATTTGAATTTGGAGGAATTTTGGGTGGAATTTGCATCTGTTACAAGTGTGTAAATTTGTTTCCATGTGCAAAACAATTTTAAGTGTTGTGCAAAAATCTGTCTATTTTAAAATATACTATACTAATACATCCTGTGGTTTCCTAAGATGGCTGATTACAGCTGAGCAGGGAAAAGAAGCTGCTGTAACAGATCCAAAATTGATCTTCCACACTCTCACAAAAAAATGGTTGGTATTTTACCATCTCCATAACAACAAGTTACGTCACAAAAGAGACACAAGATACCTTAGAAACCACTGTGCAAGCATTATTTATGGAATCACCTTCATTGCAGCTGTTCTGAAGCCTTTGTAAAACATTCTTTACAGAGTGACAGGAATATTATGAAATATTTTCTTTAACTCGGATTTTTAGAGGTGATTTTTACAGTGCTGTTTTGCTTGAGTAATTGCAATCAATGTCAGAAATCATACCAAATTTATAAACCATCCTGCCTGAAAATACTCATTCTCAAGGTAAAAACCCGAAGAAATAAACAGAGACTGAGACACATTTGTTCAAAAAATACAACAACATAGATGTAACAAGTGTGCATGATGTGCATCATTGAAAAAGGATCAAGTCTAGCTTGACATACTTCCTGTTTGGAAAAGATTTGTCAAAATAACTAACCCGGTATCATAAACATAGTCACTTATCTCAGATATGCCTGTGTGAAAAACACTGATGAAGCTTCATGATGTAACAGTCTGCAAAACAGCTGCAAGATGCTTATGTATCCATCCTGCTGTTGTTGAAATAGCTTTAAAACTTGCTGTTGTGTAACACATGCTTGAGTCGCTACAGTTGCTTTCTTTGTGTCTGTATGAATGACCTATTTCCCTTGACGTGTGAGATGCAATTTACATCTTGGGAAACCTTTCTGGTATTTTTAAAATATGCAGCCAAATTTTTATGTGAAATATGAATGCTTAGGACTGAAATAAACTGAAAAAGACTGCCTGAGTAGCCGCTTTTTAGAAACAGTGATTTCTACATGAAACTGTGCTGAGATCAGTAAAACTAGAAAAGCACCCAACAGTCTCAAAAATCTTGCTGCCAAAATTTTTGATACACGATAAATTCTATGTCAAATCCAAATATTCCTTAAAGAACAGGAAGGGAATGTTATTATTCAGAGAAATAGAAAGGATTTTTATTATTATTATTTTTTTTTAATTTGGATTCTTAGTATCTCCACGTGAAACATAAAAGCCCCAGATTGTATAAAGCTATCATGGAGCCCCGTTTCAGGTATAGGTGAGAAAGATGGATGTAATCAGAAGGGGGAATAGGGATGGAAGATGAAGAAGCCCTCCTTAAAGGAATGGACTACAGGAGTGTTTTGGAGAAATGAACCACGTGAAGTAAAACTGACAATATTTTCCTTGGCAAAATGCAGGAAAGTATTCAGATACAAGTGAATAACAGGATATGGGCAGGACACAAATACACTGGAAGCAAGAACCAGCAGTTAAGCCTGGATAAGGAACAGTCTGTATAATGAGGAAAACCATCACACTGTAAGATGAGCAATACAGGGATTATATAAAAACTGTACTTAAAATAGCAAAAGATCACTGAAAAATATCTGTGGCTTGAGGGTGACCTAAGATATCTGGTTCAGCTCACTATTTTTGCTGGTCAGCACAAAAATCAGTAGCTTTACAGTTTTGAGATGACTGGGACATTGTTTTTTTTCTTGTTCTTTTCCTAATGATTGTGAAGTTTGAGTAGCAGTAACAGTGCAGATCAAAAAGATTCGTCCTTGAGCATTTGTTTTTGAGCAGAACACAGGATGAACCAAGAAGTTGCTGAAAATGAAAATGCAGAATCAAACCAGGCAGTGTGGAAGCATCTGAAGAACTTGGCAAGGGTAGAGAAGCTTTGAAGTAGACTCCCTGAAAATTAGTCATTGCTGTTTAAACCTAATTAGGATTATCTCGCAGTTAGAAAAACAGCCATACAGATGCTGGAACACAGAAAACTATCAAACCAAAAAAGATAAATAAGGTGGAACTGCTTAAGTACTGTGGTTGTTTAGGTTGTTTGAAGCTTCCTATTGCCAAATACCTGAAGTTACCTGAAGACTGTTTCTTTTATGCTGAGATGAATTGTGTTGAATGCAAGAGGAAACAGATTAGGAATCTTAGAACAGAACTGCCTTTACTTTCTCACCCCCTAACCTTAATGTGTCTTGTTTTCAGCCTCTGTTGCAGAACTGGCAAAACCTAGCCAGAACTAAATGGCAAGCTTTCTTTTTCCCAAGTAATTGAAATATCACAAAAGCGTGAAACTATGCCTGCACTCTGAGTTTTATTTACCAGTTCACGTTTTGTTTAATGAAGTTATCATGATCTAGTCAGCTAGATTCTTGCAACTAACCCTGACCCTTAAAATAAGCTCGGTTAGAATCTGTGTGTTGGGGAACAAAAATA